CAGTGCTCAGCCAGTGAGCGCACCGGCCAGTCCTATATAGGATCCGAAACCGCGGCAGGAGCATCCCTGCGCTCCCAGCGCCGCACTCTCCCCAGTGCGCCACGGGGCCGGCCCTAATGAGTATTTCAATTTCTCCCTTGAAGCTACTGGAATAAAATTAACATACCTACCTTTCTATCTTCATGAAGATGTTTTTACCATCCCATCTTAGGCCATAAATATGAGAGTGGGAAAAGGTTTCTTTGGCCCAACCACATTTTCTCACCAGGTTCTCCCACCAGCTGTGAGTGGGTGGGTAGATTTAGAGGCCAGACTGCAGTACTGAGCTGGCCCATGTGTATAAGACACCCCTTCAGCCTCAGCCTCATTAGTATCATGTTTTAACCATGTTCTACATGTAGAAAAGACGTCTGGGGGTCTCCTCTCCTCTTATCTTCACCTTTTAATGTGCTGCTTTTAAATATGAAATCAAATATGAATATTAAAAAAGGCTGGAGAATGAATGAACGAAAAGAGCACTGTTGCTGGGATCTGAGACATCTGCATTCTTGTCCCTGCACTGCCACCTCCCAGCTGGGTGGTCTTGGACCAGTCACTGCCCTGGGTTTTCTAATCTACAGAGTGGGAATTATAAGAGGTTGTAAGGAGGAGGTAATGAACTTAAAAGTGCTTTCGAACTTTACATTCATAAGGGAACATTTCCTTTCATGAAACAGCTAAATTCCACCACAAATCGGGCTTGATTAAACCTACACACAGTTGCTGCCATTGGGAGATAGAAGATAAGATGTAAAGCAGGAAAACTCCTATGCCTTTTTTTTATTCCGGGAGATCCATTTTGCCCATGCAAACCCCCCGGTAGCAAGTGTGCTCAAGGGCCTCGCAGCGGAATCAGGTGAGCTGTGTGTTACTAAACAGTGAAGGCAGGCATCCACAATCCACAGGCAAAAGACCTTTCTCAGAGCTCCGAACTTCCCTGGGAAGCAGAGCATATTTTCCGTGGGTCCCTTATGGTGGCATCACAAACCCTGGGGAAACAAAACGCCCTAGTGTATGAAGAGAGCATGTTGTATCTTGTTCTGTGGGACAATGAGCCATGAGCATAACACGCTGCATTCCAAAACCCAATGGAAGAAGCCATTGTTTCTCAGTTTAATTATAGATTCTTCACTTTCCCTTAATGACTTGAGTCAGCACTGTTGACTCTGGGGAGGCACAGTACACAGGTAGAGCTATTGCTATTAAACAAGGTGTAACTATCAGGTAATGAGGTTTTTGTTTTGTTTTTATAAACAAACAAACCCTGATGTACATAGTCAAGTGAGCATTCCTCTTAAAGGTGTCACATTAGTAAGCTATGTTATGTTGACTCTCTTTTGTAACCAAATTTGAAAAATGTAGTATGACAAGTACAGGTGCTTTTAAGGAGGGAAAGGGACAGTATACTTAATATTAAAGCTCTTCTCAAAAACCTAGGAAACACGTACAGGGGCCCTAGACAGCCATTTGGGACGATGGTAACACAATTGAAGATACACATTAGATGATCCCCAGAGAGAGGGTTTTACTTCACATCATGTATAGACAATTTTCCTAGAAGAAAAATTTCATGTTTCTTAGCCACTTCCCTTAATCTCATAAACCCTAAATGCTTGTGCACAAAAGGTGTTCAATAAATATTTGTGGGACATTTGTTCTACCCTATCACAGTACTTACATTCATTCTTCAGAAAGTAAAACATAAAGTACATATTTTTGAATGGAAACAAGGTCTTTTGAACCTAGTTTTGTTACCTTTCCTTCCTAGATACCGTTTCTCCAACTTACTTTTATAGCTGATAGTCAATAAAAAGTCATTCAACAAACATTCATTGAGAAGTGACAGAAAACACTGGAGAAATCTGGAAATTCTGAAATACAATCTTGGTGTTCACATAGAACCTCTGTGCCAAGGACGTTGTGTAGACTCCCACGCCACCATGATTTGATCAGTTTTCTTTTATTTTCAAGGACCATATACTCTCTCGTGTAACTTCAGGAAATACAGAGGGTTATTATAAGAACGCCTGGAACTGAAATTTGGTCATATTCTCCCAGTCTCTTTCTCTGAATGGTGCTTCTGTTTATATTGGTATTTCTGCTCCATTCTCCTCTATAACCAGACTTCTCTGCTTCCTCATGACTTGGATAAGGCATGGCCTGTTGTGGTATATTAGTCAGGAAAAGCTAATTTATGCTTCAGTAAGAAACAACCCCCAGATCCCAGTAGCCTAAAATGACAAAGGTTAATGTTTCTTGCTCTTGCTTCATGTCCACCAAGGGTTAGTTGGGGGGAAGGAGGAGCCACTTGAGAAGCCATAATGACAGAGCAGCCACAATCTTAACAAATGAACATGATGAGACGTGCGCTGATTTAACGTGTGCAGCATCATAGGTCACTTCTGCCCACATTTCCTTGGCCAAAGCAAGTGAAATGGCCACATCTAACTTAATTAGATGGGAATGTGCTATCCTACCAGGACCCCGATTGAGGAGAAAGCCCAAATATTTGTGAATAACCTTATCACCATCGCACATGGCATCTCCAGCTCAACACTAACCCTTTTCATTTCAGCAGGTACAGCTAATATTTTCTCATATTTTCCATGTTCCTTAGTTCCAACTGCAGTCAGAGAAAAGCTGACAGACCCAGTCCATCTTTGCCTGACAGGCCACAACACTAGGTCCCCAGTTCGCTTTTGCATCTGTCCTTGAGTCATGGCCATTCAGCTGGGGAACAGGGATACACACTAGAGCACATGGCTGTCCAGCCCACCCCTCCTGGTCCTCTCCAGGGACTGGGCGACCTGTCCAGTACAGAAGAATTTGTTGTTTGAGTTAAGTCATGATGTTTTGCTGGTCTTAGCCCTTGATGACAAAAAGTTCAGGGGTAGTACAATCCATGAAGCTGGGTTGGGCCTCGCTGGCTGTCAGGCTATTTGTGGGGAAGAATCTCAACAGAGGTGAAACAGAAATGATTGAATTCAGGGACCTGCCATATTAACCCATCAGTCTAGGGTTCAATGATATGGTGCCAAGGGATTTAAGTAGTTGGCTCTGAGTAGCTCCATTTCCATACTTGGACACCACAGTCTTCTACCTCTGAATATAGCCCTAGGTGAGAGGGGCAGGGAAGGGAAGAGGTGACAAGAGAGAAATCAGTGGCTTCAAACCACACAAAAACGTCTGAATGTCTGAACCTGGAATTCAAGGTCCTTAACCATATAGCCCCAACCTCCATTTCCAGTCTCATGTCCCCACTCATCCCCCCAAAATCCTACCATCCAATCATCATCAAACATGCCTTTTTCTTTTCTTGGCTCGAGAAGGACCCTCCTCTCTATCTAACTGCCACCCTTCATCTGAAATCAGTTTAAAAGCCACAACCTTTTCAGAGATTTTTCTATCTCCTCTGACCTGGTCATTTCTGTCTCTTCCTCCTGATAAAATCCTGAAGGGGAACTTGACCATTCTTTGAAGGACTTACAAGTTGTTTGGCCTGCCTAATCTGCTCAGATACCATCCAGGGAATATTCAGTATCCATGTAGTACAGGCTGTGAATTATTCTGTGGGGACTGTTAACAAGACCCTCACCAACCCTGTCTCAGCCAGGTCTCAGGCAGAGACTATGGGTGGCCCCCTCACTTCCTCTCCCACTGAAGCTCTGAAGAGCAGGCTTTCCCCCTTTGGGGCCTAGGAGAAATAGAGTTAAAATTAGTAAGAGGTATAGAGGAAATCCTCCTGCCTCTCAGCAGAGCTCACAATGCAGAACTGGGCCTATTACCTCCTCAGAGTTATGGCTGTGGATGCATAGACTTAGCTAGGATAACACTTACCCCATGTTTTTGGCACCCTGCCACCTGAGCACCTAACATGGAAAGAGGCCAACTCCCTAAAATCAGTATAAGAAAAACGATAAAAGTTAGATCTGGAGGGACCTCAAGGATCATAGACACCCTAAATTTAAGGATGACGAAACTGCACCACCATACGAGTTCCTTGTCAAGGTCACACAACTGCTCGTGACAGAGACCAAAGACATAATTGCCTGAGCCTAAACTCAGAGTGTCTCCCCTTAAACTCCCACCCACCCACCCACCAACACACACACACATCCTACCCTTTTGGAAAGCACCACACAGGCACACGCAGAACTAAGCCAACGGGGTCCTGAGTCTCTTAAGTATTTGGCTATCCCCCACCCCCACCCCCACCCCCCGGGGGAAGGGTACGCAGAAGCCAGATTCTGTGTGCTATCTTTGTGCCGCACCCCGCCTTTCTGACCCGCACCAACAGAGAAAGTCTCAGGAGCAGCGCCCCCAGGCCTTCCTCCCAGCTCTCCCTTTCTCTGCTCCAGTTGAGATTCCAGAACGTGAGCGCCCTGGATTACACCTGGCGGACCGAGAGCTGCAGGGGAGGCTCTGGCGGGAGCCGAAAGCGCACAAGACTGAACACGGGGTGCGGCAGCTGCTGCCCACCCCCGCCCACCCCCCACCCCCCACCCCCCAGCCTGAGGCTGAGCGCACCCGGGCCTGGCAGCCAGGGAGCCACGCGCGCCCACCACCTGCCCGGCTCCCCCGGTCTCCCGCGGCCCCTGATGGCCGGGCGCTGGCCCTGGGAGGAGGGGGCGCAGAGGGCAGAGCCTAGCGTCGGCCCCAGTGAGGCCCCAGCGCCCTCTCCTTGGCGCGCAGGTTTGGAAACAAGGCGGCCTCGCCCGGCCGCCGCCTCGGCGGCTCGGGTCCCCATATATAGTCATATCCACCGTCAACGGGGAGGCCGGCAGGCGGCAGCGAATGGGCGAGCGGCCCCCGCGGGAGGAGCGGGGAGGGGGCACGGGGCGGAGGGAGGAGAGGGGGAAAGGGGGCAGGAGAAGAAAGCTTTTCCAAAAAAGTATTGGCTGTCTTGAGGAATGCGGTCGCCCCCCTGGGAAAGTACATATCTGGGAGCAGCCGGCGGCTCGGCGCTCGCACTCCTGCTCCGCCGCCCGACCGCGCGCTCGCCCCGCCGCTCCCGCCGCAGCCCCAGGGCCCCTCGCCGCCGCCACCATGGACGCCATCAAGAAGAAGATGCAGATGCTGAAGCTCGACAAGGAGAACGCCTTGGATCGAGCCGAGCAGGCGGAGGCCGATAAGAAGGCGGCGGAAGACAGGAGCAAGCAGGTCTGCGCCCCCCCGCCCCCCGGCCCTGCGCCCGCCGCTCGCCCGGGCTCTGCCAGTCTGGGTGCCCCGAGCCCCGGAGCCGAGCCTGGCACCTTCCTAGCCCCCCACCCCGAGGAGTCGGGGAGCCACCCCGACACGGGCGCGCGCGCACCCAGGACGGCCAGGGGCGCGCGTCTGGGAAGGGGGAGGGAAACCGCAAGACTCAGGCTAATCGTAACTTTATTTTCACTCTCATCTGAGGACGCTAATTTGCTTTCTCGGGTTCCCATAGTCCGCGAAGTCAATTCAAGTCCTAGAGGCACTCGATCCTCAGGACTGGGAATCAATTTGGGGTGGGGGGGGGGGCGGGCACCAGCTCCCGGGGACATTCAAAGGAAGGGCGCGGAAGGGAAAAGGGAGTCAAGTCCTGAATGTGTCTCAAGTTCTTTGGACTTTTGACTGGGGAGAATGGAACCTTAGACTGGGACGGAGACTTTGCGGGAGGAGAGGGGAGTCGTGGAGTTGTTGCCTAAAAACAAAGGTGGGACAGAATGGAGAGCACGGCCCGGAAGCCAGGCAAACGGGCGACTCTCTGCGCCCGCACCTTGTGGGTCTGAGCCCGCTGAGACCTCGGCAGGAGGCGGGGTGCGGGGCGAGCCACCGAGCGGTTCTGGCTCCGGGCGAGAGGAGGTTACCTCGGGGCCCTTGAGCTCCAGCTCGGCGGCGCTCCAAGCCCGAGGGGCCCCAGCCAACCTCGGCGCCCGTGTGTTGTATGTGTGTCTAACACCCGGTCCGTGCCGGCCGCCCGCGCCCGCCCGCCGCTGCCCACCAGCTCGAGGAGGACATCGCGGCGAAGGAGAAGCTGCTGCGGGCGTCGGAGGACGAGCGCGATCGGGTGCTGGAGGAGCTGCACAAGGCTGAGGACAGCCTCCTGGCCGCCGACGAGGCCGCCGCCAAGGTACCCCGGGCGCGCGGCGCGGCACACGAATGGCTAACTATGTCTTTCTCTTTCTCTCTCTCTCCCTGTCCTTCCCTCTGTCTCTCCCGCTGTCCCTGTTCCCTCTGGTTCTGTGCACCCACACCCTTCCCCTGCGGTATCACGCTGCCTGCTGCACCACCCCCTCCCCCCTTCCCCGTACCCCGCGGCCAACTCCCAGCTGGAAGATGAGCTGGTGTCGCTGCAAAAGAAACTCAAGGGCACAGAAGATGAACTGGACAAATACTCAGAGGCCCTCAAAGATGCCCAGGAGAAGCTGGAGCTGGCAGAGAAAAAGGCCACCGATGTAAGTGCACGCTCACGCTGCTCCCTCACCTCCTGACCGTGTGGCCACTCTGGGGTCACCACAGGGGCCGGAGAGCAATGGAGGAGTGTTACCTCCTCCACCTGCACACAGCCCAGCCATGGCGCAGAGCACCGGATGCTGCCTCTGACTGCTACTGCACGCACGCATTTATATTTCATCCATTCCTTTCTCTTTTTCTCCTCTTCTTTGCCTACCTGGGGGTGAAGGTGGGTGGGTGAGAAGCTGGGGGAATAGAGCAGCTGCAATTGGACTCTGGAGGTGAGCCTTGCCTCCCTAGTGGCAGAAAACCCGTGAGGTGTCATCACCAAGGTTTGTGTACACAGAGAATGCCTAGTTTTTTCTTTCTTTTTTTTTTTTTTTTTGCCATCTTCAGTAGGTGGGAAGGTCTGGTTTTTGGTGATGGGTCTAGACAGGATACAGAGGGACTGGGCTCTATGTAGTGCTACTTTTATGTAGAAGGCTGAGCTTGGTGGTGGGGCACAGAGACACTTAGAGGCCTCCTTTCTCATTAGGAAGCCTTAATCCCGCCCTTAAGATCTGCCTGGGAAGATGATACTTGCTTGGGTCTGCAGTCTGAGAGCACTAGATCCAGAAAGTAAGCTGGGAGTTATATATAGCTCAGTGCTTTATATGGTATGGAGAGCTAGCTGCCCCCTGCCTCTCCTGCTTGCCCCACCCCCACCTGTCAGCATTCTGACAACCACTACATAGTTTCAGGGGTGATGCACACTGGGCTAAAGCTTTACCAGCACTTTGTCCATGCCCTTTGGAAACTTTTTAACTGAAGAGCTTGCCTCTTCTGCTTAGGAAAGCTAAACCAAGTATTAGATTTCCAAAGGACTGACTCCTTTTCACACCGTTGGATTCCATTCTACAAGCTAATTAAGCCTAGAGGCCCAATTAGAAAAGAATTTCTTGGGAAGTTGGTAACAATTCCAAGAATGTATGAGCACCAGGGGAAGCTATGCCCAGAAGTTGAACCACCAAGTGCAACAGCAGGATTTTTTGTTTGAGAGTAAAATGCAAATTACTGAAGGGTCGTGTATCAGTAAAGGCTTGAAGTGTATCTCCAGGTGTGCTTTGTAAATGAGAAATCCAGACATAGGACATTTAGAATCTGACAAAAATCAGACTTGATTTTCAGTGAAAATCAAGGTTCTTGGAAAGGGGGTTTGGGGAAGCACTAATTTAGCTAAGACATTTAAGTTATAAACTACCTGGATTTAGAAAAAAGAGCCAAAAAACATATATAACTGAGCCCACTTTGTATAATGCAAATCAGATGTCTGCTCCGTATATGGCTAAATGGAGGATGCCTGTCTCCCCCAAATTCTCCAGCAGGACGTTTGTTTAGCTTTTTCAAAAGAGCCGCTGGTAGATCAAGGAGAGATATTCCTTATAAGGAAAAGAATGCAGAGAATTTCCAAATAGCTCAGTAAGACTTGAAGGCAAGTGGAGAAAAATGCTACTATAATTCTTAAGGGAAAAAAAGATAATTACTGTAACTTTGTAGTGCTACTATGTCTTTATCGAAAAGTCTTATTTAAGGGAGCATTGGAATGGGGTGGGGCAGAAATGGAAAAGAGGCTAAAGTCAGCTGGGGAGGGAGGTTCTTCAGTCATGTTTTGGTTCTTTTTTCCCACTGGAAAACTGTCCCTAAATATAGTATACTTTTTGGGAGATAGTGTATTGGTCATCTTCCCCTTTAAGATACTTAGGTTGTTTGGAGTCTGCGGGGATGTTGAAGAAGTTTGTGAAGAAATGCTATATTTAGAATGATTCCTGAGCTAGTAAAAATAGTCAATACTTGAGGAGGAAGAGACAGATGTCAGTAGAGAAAGGCAGAAGTGGGAGAGAAGTCAGCTTCCTGAGATAGAATCATATTACCTTTGGGATTAGGACATTTCATTGTCATTACTCCCCAGTGTAAAATATTTTTATATTTTTTTACTACTCCTATAACGATGAACATTTTTCTACTAATTTACCAATGCACTTTACCAATCCTGTTCCAGAAGTGTGTTCTTCCTAGGTTAAAAGGTTGTCATTCAGTAGGTAGCATCTCTGGTTTTGTTTTGAATTTTTTGTTGTCTTTCCACCTAAGTAAGGCTGATGGGGATCGAGGGCTCTATTTTTTTTTTCTGGTCCAAACACCTTCCCCAATAGATAGCTATGATGAATCTGATGTTTGCAGTATGTTTTTGTCCCCATAGGTCTTTACTTCTTAAATTAGTGGTTTTCACCCTTATCTACACAGAGTCATCTAGGAAAGTTTTAAACCCAAAGTCAGGCTAAAACCCAGGCCAATTAAATCAGAATCTCGGGGGGGCAGATCCCAGGCAGCAGTATTTTTTAAAAAACCCAAGTGATTCCAACCTTCAGCCAAGTCTGAGAACAACTACCCTAAACTCTTATATAATGACATCACCACGAATATGAACTCACCTGAAACTGACCTCCCAGGTGTTTGAAAAGCAGGGCATTAAGTCACTAGTTGGCTGCTTAGAATACTTGGAAGTGTCCAGCAGTTTCCCTGGCTGCTCCTTTTAGCTCCCTTCCTCCACTCTCAGTGTTGGAGGCCCACAGTCTGTGGTCTTAGAGGAGGAGCTGTAACCTCCCTGCCTGGCCAGATGAACTGTATGGAAACAAAGTGAGAAGCTCCATCTACAGGATGTGAGGGCCCAACCTGGGGTTTGTGAGTCTCAGCAGAGGCTGTGAGAAACTCCATAGAAAATGAGTCAGGGAAACAAAAGAGGTTCCTTGTTGGGGCTTGGAGGAGGAGGGGGTTGTCAAGCATGTTTTCTTTTTCTTCATTATTCCCACACATAAACACATCAGGAACTGACTTTAAGGGCATCCTGTGACAAAGGTGAGGGGAAAAAAAATACCTGAGACTACGAAGACATTTAAAAGCGCAGCCAGAGTACAGTTCCCAGAGATTATGTCCTTGTAGTTTTCATCCAGCTGTGAATAGAAGCTCTCTCATATGGTTCTGTGGCCTTCCTGGGGGTACCTTTTAGAGGCATTCCAGTCAAGCCCAGAATCGGTCAAATTCCAGGAGATCTAAGGACCCTTGCAATGATCGTTTTTAGGAAAAGTGAGCCCCAGCGAGGCTGGCTTGCCTGAGACCACACAGCTTGTTACAGGCCACAGCCTGACTCCTAAAAAGTGTGTATTTACTAATTATAGCTATTATTTGAGTTCTTAATTATAAGGTATTGTGCTAGGTGCTTTATATTATTTCAAAATCCTGATTGCAGCCCTATGGGGAAAGTACTACTAGTATCCCCATTTTTACGGATGAAGTCCAGAGTAGTCAAGTTACTTGCCCAAAGTCACATAGCAGGGAACTAGGAGCCAGAAACCTGGGAAGACTGCATTTGGAACAGGAGGTCTAACTACTGGGTTCTATATGTTTATGGTTTTCACTTCGAAGGATTGTTGTGGTCAGGATCTTGTGTTCTGGTATTCTTTACAAAGAGGAACAGTCTCTTAAGGGCAGGTTCAGAGTCCAAACCCCTAGCTCAGCTTCTCTCCCTCCTGCGCATAGGAAATCGAGACTCCGGAGGGGAGCGCGCCTGCGGCCAGCAGGCGTCGCCATGGCCCTCAGCAGCTAGGTCCGTTACCCCAAGTCACCACGGCGTCGCGGAGGGGCGCTGGGAGTCGAAGTAGAATCCCTGGCGCCGTGGCCTCCCTCACCGGAGGGTCCAGCCCGCCAGGTGGCCCCGCAGGGTAACCCCGGCGGCGCGAGCATGCGCAGTGCCTTCTGCGGGTCGCAAATTCCCGGGGTCGCGGTGCGCGCCCCTCCCCCGGCGCTCGCGCACCCGCCTGCGGTTCGTCTGCGCCGCCCCGGAGACGGCGGCTTCCGGGCTGCTTCTGGACTGTAGGGGGCGCCGCGGTCGCGCGGGGCTGCCTGGGCGGGGCGGA